CTCTATAAACATACTCTTTTGTAGCTTGTGTTTTTTACTTTTTTTATTAAAATATTATCCTGAAAACCACCTGTGATGGTTAATCTTAATTGCAGACTTGATGAGATCTAAATCACTAGGGAGATGGGTCCCTTGGCATGCTTGTGAGAGATGATCTTGATTAGGTTAACTGAAACGGGATGACCGGCCCACTGTGAGTGGCATCATGTCCTAGGTTAAGATCCTGAACTGTATAAAAAGGAGGCTGAGCTGAGAACAAACATTCATTTACTGTTTCTTGACTGGATGCTGTATAATCAGCTGGCTGATGCCTCTGCTACTGTGACTTCCTCATCACTATGAACTGTACTCTTGAAATGTTGATCAAATCAACCCTCTGTCCCTTAAGCTGCTTTTGTCTGTGTATTTTATCGCAGGAAAAGCAACTAATGCCCCATCCATGAAGTACATTTAACTGTTGAATTACAGTTTATTTTCACTAGTACATTGGGTTTCTTATCTGAATATACCTGGTCAGGTTTATTTCCAAATATATTATGAAGTCATATGTACTGCATCAAAGGACATGTCCATCTTTAGCTTTGCTAGAGAATGTACCACTATGACCAAAATGACTTTTACCTATTTATCTCCTGTTGTGATTTGAATAAGAAATGTCCCCCATAGGCTCATGTATTTGAATACTAGGTTCCTAGTTGGTGGAAGTGTTTGAGGAAGGTTATGGAACCCTTAAGGAGGTGCAACCTTTCTGGAGGAAGAATGGCACTGGGGCAGGCTTTGAGAGTTTCATTTCCACTTTGCTCTCAGTTTCCTGTGTGAGGAAATGTGGTCAGCTAGCATCCTGTTCCTGCTGCCTGATGTCATGGGTCCCTTGCCATTGTAAACTCTTCCTGTGTAAGAACTGTAAGCCAAAATAAACTCTTCCTTCTATTAGTTGCTTTTTGGTTATGGTATTTTAGCACAGCAACAAAGAAAGTAACTGGTATATCTACCTACCAACAACACTTAAGTGTTCTGTCTGCCCCATATCTTTATCAACATATTGCCAATCTTCTAAATTGCTGTTAATACAATGTGTATGTCACTGTGATTTTAATTTGTATCTCTGTGATGTAACGAGGTCAATAAATTATTTTTTATGTGTACTGGATTATCTGGTTTTCATTTTCTTAGAAAGACCTACACAATTTTTCTTTTAACCTTTCTATTAAGTTTCTTGTTCTTTCCATTTTGAGTTTGGGAATTCTTCAAATATTCTTGGTATCAATTCTTTAGCAATGGCAAATTTATTTTTTAAAAATTCTCCAATCTGTAGCTTATGATTACTCCATTGAACAGAATATTTAATATTAATGAAGATAAATATATTCTTTTATGATTTTCAATTTTCCTATCATATTTAAAAATCTCTGCTTCCCCAAAGTCATAAATATGTATGCTTGTTTCCTTTTTTGCTCATTCTCTTTTAAAATTGATTAAATGTCCCATTTGGAACATCTATCACTGGGAATTGATTTTTGTGTGTAATGTGAAGTAAAGATTCAATTTTATTTTCTTCTTTGATCATGTGGGTAATATGTCCAGGATAAGTCTTTTTATTGCATTTCTATTATTTTCATGAATTTTAACTTTTACTCTTTTGATTTTTCATAAGGCAGTATTCTTTTTATTCTCAAGATTAAGTACAATCTATTTATATGTGAAATTCTATCATTTTATTTACTTATTTGTTCTGATACTTCAGGTCTTCTCTCTGGAATAATTTTTATTTTACCTCAAATCAAATTTCAGTGTCTGTGTATAGACATACTTTTTCTGTCCTCCTTTAATCTGATTAACACATGAAAATTATACATATTTATGGAGAACAATATGATAATTTGATATGTATAACATCAAATTAGAGCAATTAGCATTTCTTTGTGTTTGGAACATTAAAATAAGGGTTTTTTATTTATTTTAGTTAAAATGTTTATTTATTGTGTGTGTATGTGGGAGTGGGCACGTGCTGTGGTACATGAATGGAGGCCAGAGGAAAACTTTTAAGAGTTACCCCTTCCATCATGTGGGACTCAGGGATTGAAATGAGTTCAGCAGGCTTGGAGGCAAGTACTCTTACCTGCTGAGACATCCCTCCAGCCTTTATTTATTTATTTTTGGGACAGTGTCTCATGCATCCCATACTGGCCTCAAAGGTCTTATGTATTTAAAGGTGACCTTGGATTACTGATCCTGCCTACATCTCCTAACAGGTAGGATCACAGGTGTTCACCACTGTGCCTGGATTATGTGGTGCTGGGATTCAAACCCAGGGCTTCATTCTTGCTGGAAAGCACTCTAATAACTAAGCGACATTCCAGTCCAGAAACCTGAAAAGGAAGAGTTTGTTTAGTGCTGTATTTTTTTTAAGTACCAGGATATGAATCTAGAGCTTCCTGCATGCTAGGCAAGTGCTGTGTCCCAGAGCTACATCCCAAGGCCTTTCTTTCAGCACTGTTCAGATAATAACAAATTATTGCAATCTTTTAAAAATATTTTATTATTTTTTAATTTTATGTCTATGAGTGTTTGCTTACATGTATGTAAGTACACCTGTGTCATGCAAGGCTGGAGAAGGTCAGAAGAGGGCATCAGATCCCCTTGAATTATGGACAGTTGTTAGCCATCATGTGGGTGCTGGGAACCGAACCTGGGTCTGAAAGAGCAAAATGTGCTCTTAGCTGCTGAGTTATCTCTCCAGCCCAAATTGTCACGCCCTTACTATGCCATAGAAAATGAGAAGTGACTCCTCTTTTCTCATTTTGTTTAGGGACATATTTCACAGCTCATCTCTATGCTTTCTCCTCTCTTCCCTTCATATCCTCTGGTAACCACTCTCCTACACTGTATTTTGGTAAGATCAACATTTTAACTTCTACACAGAAGAAAGAGTTGCAGCATTTGTCTTTCTATGTACAAATTACTTCACTTCACATAATGTGCTCCAGCTCTAACCAAAGTGTGGGAATGACAGAACAGGATTTTGTTCTGTATAGGACTGAATAATCTTCCTTCATGTATCACATTTTCTTCATCCATTCATCTGTTGATGCACACCCCAAGTGTTTCTGCATTCTGCTATTGGGTATAGTACAGTAATAAACATGGGAGCCCAGGTATCTCTTTCACAAAGTGATTTAATTTTCTTTGGGTCGATACTGAGTATGGAATAGGTAATTTTAGTTTTATGAGGAAACTTCCTATATTTATCTATCATGGCTATACAAGTTCACATTCCTACCTACATTGCATGAGAATTCTCTTTCTCTGCGTACTAACATTTCTAACTTTCTACCTTTCACATAACAGCCTTTATAAGATTGATAATTAAATTCTCTCATCATATTAAAGAGTCTATTTTCTTTTTGCTTTCTATTTTTCTTGAGAATTCTATGCTAATTTAACTGTCATCACTTTGAAAATATCTGTATTATGATTCTGGCTATTTTCTTTTAAAATATTTTTATTAATTATTTGAGAGTTTCATACATTGTATTTTGATCATATTCACGCCCTTCCTCCAACTCGCCCCAGATCTACCCCTGCTTTCCTGCCCACCCAAATTTATGTTCTCATTTTTTTTTAAAGAACCCATTCTGTCAAATCTGTGCTGCCCTTGTTGGATGTGTGGCTATCCCCTGGAGCATGGTCGGCCTATCAGTGGCCATATTCTTAAAGAAAACTGGCACTCCCTCTCCCAGCATCTATCAATTGCCAGCTAGAGGTGGGACATTCCCCGCTTCCCTCCTCCATGTTGAGATTCTTTCTGTCTGGAGCATGAGGTCTTGTGCATTCTGTCAATACCACTGCGAGTTTATTTGTGCACCTGTACTGCTGTGCCCTGAAAATACTGTTTCCTTGTGGTCATCCATTGCCTCTGACTCTTACAAAATTTTTCTGTGCTCTCTTCTGAGATGGTCCCTGAGCCTTTTGGGGAGGTGTGTGATACAGGTATTACACTTAGGGTTGAGATTCCTGCCCTCTTACTCCCTGCACCTTGAGACTGGTTATTGGCATGTTTATCTGTTCTATCTGGTATTCTTTATTTTCATTGTTCTAGATGAAATTTCATTTTTATTTAGACTGCTGAAAATCTCAGTAGGTTTCCTAAAGCTGCAGTTAGTTTGAATTAGGGTTGGAAATTCTGACCGTTCTCTTCAACAGTTGTTTCTTGCTCATTCTTTCCCACTTTGCATTCTGGAACTGTATACAGACTGACTCTGACCCAAACTGTCTTTCCCACTCTCCTGCCCTCCAATCCACCCTCCATGCTTTGCTTCTCTTTGTCTTCTGTTGCCTTTGGGTGATTTCTTCAGGCCTGTTATCTAGTTGACTAATTCTCTTTTCAGACAGATCTCATTTGTTATGAAAACTACACAGACTCATGGCTTCAAAAAAGCTATTACTGGAAAATTATAATCTTTGGGAAGGCTGGTTAATTATATATTCACAGTTACTCCAAGGATGCAGAGCTTGTATTCTTGGCTTATTTTGGAAAACATTCTCACATTATACTCTCCTGTGAGTTGAGTCTAGGCTCTGTCTTAAAATCATGGTCCTTGTGAAGTGGCAAAACCAGATCTCGGGTCCTGCTGTTTGTCAAGGTGACAACTAACTACCCTTAGAGTTCAGCTTATTTTCTTGGATATTAAATTCATTAACTTTTAGATCTGTATACTTCCTATTTTCCTGCCAGTTTACTTGTACAATTCAGAATTACGTTTTTAGTCAATATTTTATTATAAATTGTTGTTTTTAAAGTGAAGGTCATTCAGAATATTTAATGATTAGTACTGCCAGAAAGAGAAATTTGCACATATTTTCACGAAATAGTTATCTACTCAGACTTCTCAGAATGGCTGATATTGCCTTCCTAAAGGCTCTTTCCTTCTTCAGCACTCTGTAAGTACGTGCTGATTTTAACAAAAGAAACTATTTGTAATGTTCTTAAACAAACAAACCTTATGTGAGGTTTGGGATTCCCTTTAACTTCACAACTGAGCTTCACTTTTTTCTCCTCGGAATCCAACGGAAACATTATGTGACTTGGTTCTTGAACAAAAACTGGGCCATGCAGTGTGTAGTCATCTGAAACAAAAAGAGAAAATGTCCAAAATGAAGACCACCTTCCAAAGAGCAGCAATAGGCAGTAACCGTACAGTGAAAAGAACGTCACTAACATAAATGGTAATGTATAAGATTTGGTTTCTGCTCCATGATGAAATTCTCATTGAAGATTGAAGTTTAGACATGACATGTTGATCATTTCCTTCACTAAAAACTTCCAGTCACAGGATGCCTGGCATCTCCCCTCCTTTCTCCTGTGCCTTATCATTCGAATTTGTTCTTACTCAGCCTTTTACTTCATTCACATTTTGTGCTTCCTACATCCCTTTTGTATTACTGTCATTTGGAAGTCTGTGTAATGTCACAAAGTTAAAGATTTCCTCCTCTATAATGAAAGACTGTCATTGGAAACAAGCAATGGTGATTATTAAAATCATGCCGATAATCAGGAACAGTTCTACATTGTACACACACACACACACACACACACACACACACACACACACACAGAGAGAGAGAGAGAGAGAGAGAGAGAGAGAGAGAGAGAGCCTAATTAAAGTTGTTATGCAGACAAATAAAGAAAAATCTATAGCTCTGGTTCTTAAAATTATAGTAAAAGACCAACTTTAAACCCTTTCATGATGCATATGGACACTCAGCAGTGAGAAATTGCCATGTACTTTGAAATTATTTTCTTTAAGAAGAGAAATTAGTGCATGGCAGCTATTTTGTCACAGAATAGTAACGAAGCTCAAAGACTGAAGTAATCTACAAACCATACTTTAAGTAGCTGTGTAGAGTGTATGCTTCTATACTTTTACAAATAAATAGCATTGAAAATGCATGTCACTCCCTATGTCCATGAAAGTGATCTTCATTCTTCAAAGTCATGTCCAAATTCTATTTTTCTCCTAGAAGGCTTTTTTTTTATACTTATCTTCTTTATTAACCCTATTAATATTAATTTTAAAGATTTGTTATCCCCCAGATGAGTCTCTTTTCTACCAAGAACATTTAAGCTTCTTTTTCTCCTCTTTGGATTGTAAGCTTATTAAGAGAATGACTGCATTAGACCAATTTTTTATCTCCTGTGGTAAAAAGTACAATGGTCGACACGATTTGTTCTCTTCGAAAGTTTTTTTTTTCCCTTTTCCTTTTAAAGTATTAGCTAGCTTATTTATTTAGGCTTCACCTGTTAAGGTCTGAGACAGAGCACCAGTGGCTAAGTGAGGACATGATAAAGGTCATCACGCTGCTGTTGACAGTCCATTTTATCCCTGGACACAATTACCTTAAAGGGTGTGAACTACACCTGCTAGTCTGGAAAACCTTTATAACCAGTCTGTTACTGATAGGTGATAACATGAGACTGAATTCCTTCAGGTGAATAGAGACAGAGGAAAAGGAATCAAGTTGGTTCAGGGATGGGGCGAAGTCTGGCACAATCATTTCTTTTTAACTCAGACTTAACAAAATAAAGCTTCATGGTAAGAAAGAGACAGAAGAAAATGGAGAGAGACAAGATAACTGAATAGAGTCATATTTTATTACACAGAAGTGAGGCCCACCCATGACCTTGGGAGTGAAGAAGTAGAATGAAGATTCATAAAGACCATGAACTATAAGTCAACGTCTTGTTCAATTAGTAACTCCAGGATCTGTGTGTGCCTCAGTTTGCTCTGAACCAGTTCAATGATTCAAACTGATTATAAATTGGAAAGAATGGCAAATATTTTCTCCTGAACACACATGTGCATTTTAGCAATATTATAAATGATTTTGCCACCACTATTTTTTTCTACTGATTCTACATGTAAAATCTCAAATCAATGAGAAACTTAAACAAAGAATATAGGAGTTATCAAAGAAAACAAAAGCAGAGAATAACAGCATTCAAAACTACAGCTGAAGTGTTTGTGCATGAGAGTTATATATTTCAGAATCCATATATTTACATTTTAGACTCTCAACAATTACACAGATATTTTCAAAACAAATTTAGATTACTTTGTCAAGGGTCAGCTCATTCCAACTGTGAAGAATTTAGCAAATGTTTGGCACATCTATTTCAATGCAAAGCATTCTTTAACAAGATCACTAACACACAACAAGTTTGGTAGATTTTCTCTTAAGAGAGAAATATTTCTATTGTTGTCCCCAATTCTAAAATTATGTGTGTGTATATATATATCAATCATCTCAATTCATTGGTGCTCCCTGATTTGAATTTCACACAAAAATACAGTCTATTACTAGTAATTCCAAATAAGAATGGAATGAAACATAATAATGATTACCCAGGATGCAGCTGGAAGGCTGTGGATTAACATCTGTACTATTTCTCAATGTAGCCATGCCATATTTAAATAACAAAAGGGTTATTTTTTCTGTGTATTTTGTAATAAGAATTGATAATAATGATGCTTTGCATTCACTATAAATAACACATTCCATCTAAAGTTTTATTTTCTCTTGGTTAACCAAGCTCTCTGCCTGGAAATTAACATTAGCATAAAGGAAAGTATTTCAGCACTCATCTAAGGAAATCCACAGCTTTTCATGTTTGAACTGTGACCAAGATAGAGGGAGATATTTGAGAAACTTTAGCTGCCCAGGTATAGAAAGAAGATATTCTAGCTTTTAAACCTTTAGACCACTGTTTTTAAGGAAGAAAGAGGTGTTTTATTCCATCAAAACTGTGAGGTGTCTGCTTCAGTGAAATAACAACAGGAGAGGGGTTCTAAAAAAGTACCACTAAGAACAGTCTGTTTACTAATTACAATGTGACCTTCAAGAGTCTTCAAAGACAAAAAAAAATCTATTCGTCATTTTTAAAGCCCAGAAGATCAAGTTCACCCTTAACTCTTTCACAGTAAGTTGTTCTAGATAATGGGAAGAATGAATATGATTTTAGTCTAAACAGGGAAAGGAACATTTGAGCAAATGACAGAGAATTTCAATGTGTCACAGTTAGATTGTAGAGCACTTGTATGCTAAGCATGCCAGGTTTATGTTATGAAATCCTGGAGAGACTTACTGGGCAAGAAGGATATGGCATTCATAAACTAGGTTTAACCTCACTCTGGGCAAGTCTTTATCACACTAGAGTTTGAGAACTAAAAACATAGACCCCTCTGTTCCAATATCATATTTCCTAAGAACAGAGCATTAGACAATACTGACTTTAGACTCATGCTCAGACATTTTTATTGAGCAATGTGTAAGCCACAATTTTTACTTGATAAAATTTAGAGAGGCACATATCTTGACTCATAGTCTAAAGCATCAAAGAAAGAAAAACTTATCAACAAAGGAAATGGATGGTTAGGCATGGCGGTGCATTCCTGTAATCCCGGTACTCAGGAGAGTGAGGAATGGATTGCAAGTTCAAGGTCAGCATAGACTACATACTGAAGTAGAGGCTAGCTGTGCTTCATAGAGACTTTAACACACAAAGAAAAAGAAAAAGGAAAGTGGATGCATTTGTCAGAGTTTTGGGTTAAAGTTGTACACACTAACTTTCCTAGAGCACTAATCTTTGAAAATTTAAGTTATGTGGTGTGTGTGTGCACACGTGTACACACACAAACACACAGCTTAGGGGTGGAAGTTAGTGGACAACTTGCGGGGGTAGGTTCTCCCTTTCCACTGTGTGAGATCCTGTATCCCAAGTTATCAGTGTTAGCATCAAATATCTTTAGCCTCTAGCAGCTGAGCCATCTCCCTGGCCAAGCACTTCAGTTTAAATTCTGGAAGGTAAGTGTGAGAACATCTGGAGGACTACCTTGAACAGATGAAGAGCGGGATTCTCAATGAACAATTCATTTACCTGTAGGTATGTTTTATCCTCATTCAATACAGCATTCCTGATGTAATCAGTTCTTAGCAAGGAACCTCTCTCATGGTTAAGTGACAAGGTATTAGGACTACTTTTCTTTTATTGTTGCATTTCCCAAAAGGAGAAACTTATCCTAGATATTCACTGCCTTGGAGACATTAGCAGAATGGATTTATTTTGTCATTAAAGAACAATAGACATTTTTAAGATTCTAGTAAGGACTGGAGAGATGGCTCAGCAGTTAAGAGCACTGACTGCTCTTGCAGAGGCCCTGGGTTCAATTCTCAGCACCCAACATGGCGGCTAACAACCACCAGTAACTCCAGTTCCAGGGGAATCTGAAGTCCTCTTCTGACCTCCAAGGCATTACATGACACGGGTGCACTCACATACATGCAGACAATACACTCATACACATTAAAAAAATAAAAATAATAATCAGAATTTATAGTAAAAAAAATATTCTAGCAATAGCAGGACTTGCAAGTAGATCACCCTAGGATGGAATCACCTCCTATGTGGAAGAAATTATCCCATGATGGGAAATTAGCAGAAGTAATCATTTCATGATGGGAACAGAACTGTCCATGAAACCAGCAGGCTCTTGCTGCAGATATAGATCAAGGATAATGAACAACCAGGCCACAGTCCGACCAAGTCTATTTATGCAAAGTTCTTTGATACTGTCCTTATGACACATAAACCTGAAAATTTAGAATTATCCTGAAAACGGAGTTTAGAAGGCTTGTTTTCCTGCTTCCTACCGTGGCCACACTGAATATAAACCCCTTTCTTGCTTCACAGTCAGTCATGTTCCTGTCTGAATTCTCTACGTGGGGAGTAGCAGAGCCTGGTTTCGTGGAACCACCTAAGTTAGGTTTTTGGCTTAGGAAGCCGGTAACAACACCACAGAAGTTCTCAAAAATTTATGAGTCAACTACACCTCTGCAAAGAGAGGGGAGAAGAATTCAGCCTCTTTTCATGCTTCAACAAAGACTTGTAAACTTTTTGTGGAGAAAACAAAACATAGTCTCAGTACCAGAAGTTTATTTAGGTAAAAAGTCAGGCTAAGATTTCATAGACACCCGCACTTTTCCCCCTTTGTTCATCAACTATTGAAAATTATTAAAAAACAAACAAACAAACAAAAATCCTTGCTCTCAGCAAGGCTTTTCAAATTCTA